GACGAGGATTCGAACCCGCGACCCTCATATTGCAAGTCAAGTGACCTAACCACCTGGCCACCATGATAGGAAAAAAATTCTTACCATTTTATGTATAACTGAGGTAATATTAAAGCTTGTCTTTTTATTTGCAGCACAACTGAGCACTTCCTTCAGAGTAGCAAATGTTCAAGCCATAACAACTCAATGTTTTGAACCTTCAGCACAAACTTTATCACCTTGACTGCAACACCAAGGATAAAAAACAAATTAAAACAAACATCATCTGAGCCAGTTGGAAATCTTGATGAATTTCCATGTAATGGTAATTACTTTTATGCATCTGTAACATGTACACCATGCTTTAAAAATGTGCTCCTTTTGTTGAAATATAATTCAGTTGATGTTGACACCCAACTCAATCTGCATCAGACAATGACTCAAAGGTATGCTGATAAATGTTAAAATTGATATTAGTTGATTGTGTAGTATTCAAATTATTTTTCTGCTTCTTTAGCTATTGAGAGACATCTTTTGCTTATAATGGAAAAGATGCAACAGCAACAATTGCAACATACTTTGCTGCTGAATCAAATTCTTAGCCATTTAACAAGCAACACACAAGTCGAGAGTGCAGAACTGCCTGAAGATGTCTCTTTTCCAATTTCCAGCTTTCATACCAATGACACAATTGAAAAAAAACAAAAACTTAAAGATAATGTGGATATAAAGAGACATTGTAAGCTTTTCCACTTATAAAATAGATGACATAAAGATCAGAAAAACTATTAGAGAAGCAAAAGTAGAAATCTATTTGATTAATAAGATGTTACACATGTTTATTGCAATGGTATGTAGTAGCACATTATTTGTAAAATGCAAATATTAGAAGACCTTTTTTTTAATTACAGGTAGCTCACTTGGAAACAACAGGGGGCATTAACACTAAAGAAACTGCTTCTCACATAATGAATTGCATCATTGCCAATCCATTGGCAAGTCAAATGAACTGGAGTGGTGCACATGGCAAACATGCATTCAAGAATCTAAAGCTGCAAATTGTTGTTAACTGTAAGTTTCTTTATTTCATTTGTTCTTTTATTTAAGTTCAGTAACTGGTATTAGTGCATCAGTATATGAACATGCTCAACTGGACATTTGTTTATCGTTTACCCTTTTTTAATTTATACATATATATATATACATCTATTCCAGCATGGTAATAAATTTATTACATATATATATAATAATTCTGAATTTTAACTAAAGACCCTTACTCTTCAAACAAATCCTGTTAGAAAGAACTCATTTTCATCAAATGCTGCAGATGATGAGATAGAATCATTCAACAAAAGGTGGTTCCAGTTAGCAGGTGACTGTGATGGAGGCAGGAAGGAGAGATATATTTGTAAATAGGCAAAGACTGACAATTAATATATATATACACACACATTTTCTTTTAAATAACTTGTATCTATTAATGTACGTGATATTCACAATAATAAATGTAAAAAAAAAAAAAAATCCTTACTGTATTTGAATGTAAACTGTGTTTTACTACTGAAATAATAAACATTCGTTTTGTGTTAATGGTCTTTTTAAGCTTTTGATTTTTAAGATTTAAATACAAACTAGTTACGCATTCATCTATTATACTAACATTTCTAATGTTAAGAATTGTTGTTGGTGTAAATTAAATCTGAGTTAAAACAAAGCAGCATGTTCCTATTAAAGAAATGCATTGCTAAGTTTCTTTTATTTGGTCCAAAAACTAAAACTTGTTTGAAGTTTTAAAAGGGGAAAAAGTATTATAGCATTCAATGTACCTGTCACTATCAATAATATTCTTTACAAATATATATATAACTGAAAACTACAGGTTGTAATGAAATTCATTAATCATACACACAAATTAAAAACAAAATATATTTGAAACGATAAATCCATCATATACAAGATATTTCAATAGCATAAAGTGAAAATACGTTTATATTCTATAACTAATATGTAGAATCTATATTAAACGAAAATCAGCATAGAATCGGCTGCTGATATAGGACCAAAGAAATCGGGCTGATATTGGCCCACTGTGCAGTTCGATGCCAGACCTATTTTGGTATCCAATGCTGGCCCAATATTTTTGCTGTTGTCTGGCCAACAATGGATGTCATTGTGCTGTTTGGGTACAGAACCTAAGAGATTTTGGACATACTTGAAAAGATTCACTGACAATCAGAACACTCGCAAATATCAAACCTGACATCACAATAATAAAATAGACTTCACAAATAAACAAAAAGCAGAAGCTTTTAAAGAACAATTACACAAAACATGTAAAAGACATCAATAAACACTTTTATAATTAAGTAAATTAATATGTTCAAAGAAATCAAGAATTATAGACACCAAAATTTCCGACCACTACAATAATCCCTCAAAACAATAATCACAATCCAGCACAAAAAATCACAAATACAATAAAATTTATATTATCCATAAAACAAACAAGAAACAAAGCACCAGAGACCAAATACAAACTATATTATTAAAGAAAGGTATTCAGAAATTGTTTGATCCCCTAACTGTATTATTTAATCTATCCCTAAAATTTAGGATACATCCCTGCCTCTTGGAAGCAAGCAAATGTACTTATGTTCTTGAAGGAAGGTAAACCAGCAAACAAGCCAGAAAATTACAGACTTATCAGTTTAATTAGTTGTGTAGGTAAAATTTTAGAAATAATTATTAACAATAGGATCTCAAATTTTCTGGAGATCGCATCAAAATTACCCAAAGTTCAAAATGGTTTCAGAAAATTCAACAGATCATTTGGTTAGGTTAACTGAAACCGTAATAGACAGCTTTAATCATAAGAAATGCACTGTGGCCCTCTTTCTTGATATAGAGAAAGCATTTGACATTATATGGCATAATGATTTAAGATATAAATTAAAACAATTAGAATTACCTAATCGCTAGTTATCTAACTTTTTAGAAAATAGAAAATGTAGAATAAATGAGAAAGGCACCTACTCGGAGTATTTTACTCCTGAGAAAGGTGTTCCACAGGGAAGGGTAGTTAGCCCCATACTTTGCCCTACTCTTTTTTATCATGTATAATTTATCATAATAATTTTAGTCTAACATCCTAATTTGTGGACGATTTGGAAGAGCTCATCAACTCCTTTGATAGCAGATACAAGTCTACAACATGTTCTAAATGAAATTGTTGAATACTGTCTGAAACACAGGATAAAAATAATTGTTCCTCAAACAAATCTTCTCTTTTTCAAAATTGACTAAAACATTAAGAAATCCTCCTGAAAAATACTTAAAAAGAGCTCTTCCAAATGTTGTCCCATTGGCAAAATTTTTAGGTATAACTTAACAATGAAACAAAACACAAACATAATAACAGGAAGCATTTATTGGAAGTTTCAGAATCGTCATAATTCCATCAGCAGTAATCTAGGGTTACAAAACAAACAAACAATATTCATAATTACAACAGAAATATATACACAAGAAATAAACAAATCAAATATACAAATACAACATGAAAAAATAAAAACCAAGTGAAATAGTTAAAATAGGTTTAAATCCAGTGCAGACTGTGTGTTATTTAGGGATGTGAGAAGAGTTTTCATGTATAATGTTTCTTTTATAAGAAGTTCAGTACCATGTTTGGCTGCTAAAAGAATTTTAAGTTTGAGAGAGAAACCAGATGTCCTGTTTCTGTATTGTGTTAAATAGTTAAAATAGGTTTAAATCCAGTGCAGACTGTGTGTTATTTAGGGATGTGAGAAGAGTTTTCATGTATAATGGTTCTTTTATAAGAAGTTGGGTATCATGTTTGGCTGCTGAAAGAATTTTAAGTTTGAGAGAGAAACCAGATGTCCTGTTTCAGTATTGTGTTGATAGATAGCAGAGTTGGGAGGATTTGTAACCTTTCTTCCAGTTTTTATAGATATGCCCATATGTTCACATGCTCGTACTTTAAGGTGATGTTTTGTTTCATTAGTATAGGAGGCCCTACAATCTCTGCATGTGTATAAGTAGACGAGATGTGAACAACTGGCAGACAGCAAATGATCTTTGTAGTTGAAAAAAATTTTTAGTCTAAAGTTGGGTTTCATAATGACTTTCAGGTCAATTTGGGGATAGTAAATGTTACATAACTTTTTCAACTATTTCGTGATAAGGAAGCTCTGTCTCCTGAGATTTGGTAAGCAGGTGTATAAGGGAAGCTTAGGTACAGTGGGTATCTTAGAAGGTTTGACAAAGAAATTAATTAGAAATGAGAAAGTTATTTTCTCCAAGAAATGCATAGGGTAGCCATTTTGAAAGATAATGTTTTGTATGGAAGTAATTTCTTTGCGAAGGGCTAAATAGCATTAGGTAAGATTGTAGGCTCTATTTAGAAGACAGAGAATAATATTGCATTTTAACTCAGTTTCAAGCTATTTGAAATTATAATGTTATGTAATAAATAGGAGGATCGTCTGGGATAAATTGTAATATGTAACATAATAAACTGGGGGCTCATCTGGGATCTGAATCAGACAAAATTCGATTTATTTATTATTTATTAATGTCTGATTATCAAGATTTTCTTGAATCATCCTCCCTCGAACAACTAGAAAGATATAACAAAAATTAATTGCTCGAAATTGACAAAGTTTCAGAACTAGAAGTTACAAAATGAATGATAAAAAAAAGTGTATTATTCAAATACCAGTCATTGAAGATTTGTTGCCTGAGGAAGTATTAGAAGAATATTCTAGTGTCCCCACTGGCCAGTCGGAGTTGATTGATAAAGATACGCTAGAAATTGAGCTAAAATTCAAACTAGAATGAGCTCGTATGGAAGCCAAAAAAAGAAAGAACAAGCTCGTATCAAAGGTGAGAAAGAATAAACTCATATCAAAGCTGAAAGAGAAAATAAATGTTTCAAGGCTGAAAAAGCTTGCATTGAAGTCGAAAAATAAATTAAGCCGAAAGAAATGGAAATTAGACTCAACTCCAATCAACCAAGAAAAAATAACAACTTTGAACTTAATCAATACGTTAAAGTACCACTATTCAATGAAAATGAAGTTGATAAATGTTTCCAACATTTTGAGAAGGTTGCCCAAACCATGGAATGGCCCACCAAAAAATGGTCATTATTGTAACAAATTGTTTTAACTGGTAAAGCACAAGAAACTTATGTCACTCTCTCTCTAGAAGATTGTATGAATTATGATAAGGTTAAAGCAGCTATCCTCAAAGCATACAAGTTAATACCTGAGGCTTATTGTCAAAAGTTGAGGTTATCGCAAGCAAGATAATCAAACTTAAATGGAATTTGCCCATGAAAAAAGTTTATTTTGATCGACATTGTACACGTGAAACACTACCTACAGGAAGCAGCTGCTCTTTCTGATGATTACACTTTAACACACAAAACCAATTTTCATAAAAAGAAATTCCTGCCATTTCAGCAAAAACCTGTATCTGTTCAGTCCACTAATGTTGAGGATACTTCTAAGCAATCCAGCTCCGAAATTTTCTGACAGTCATGATAAAACTTCATCAAAACCATTAAGACCTGTCTGCCATTTATGTAAAAAACCTGGTCATGTTATGTCCGATTGTTGGTGTTTGAAAAAGAAAAGGAGGCAACACCCAGTGCATCTGTGTCCATATATGGACATAGTTTCACCAGATCACCCACTGTTGTTGATTCAGCCACTGATATAAAGTCAGGGAGGAATTTAGACCTTTTGTGTCTGTTGGTTCTGTGTCTTTGACAAATGACACTGCCAATTCCATACCAAATTCTAGAATGAATAATCAGCATATGCATTTTCTTATAGCAAAGCCATATCAGGTTAACTGAACCCCTGATTTTAGCATTTAAAATCTGAAGAATTATTTACTGCTGTCCCACTGGGGGACAAAATAATCAGTAACACATTCCTGGAGATAATATTTAAATCACCTGAAGTACAGAATGGATTCAGGAAATTCAGATAAACAACTGATCATTTAGTTAGATTCATCATAGTCAGCTTTAACAAAAAAAGAATGTACTGTTGTATGTTTCCTCAATATTGAGAAGACATTCGATACTGTATGACATAATGGTCTTAGGTTCTGCACGTCCAAATTGGAACTGCCACGCGGTATTATTCAATGGCTATCAAACTTTTTGGAAAAACAAAAAGTGTAGAATCAATGGTGAGAGAACCTTCTAAGAGTCATTTACTCATGAGGCAGGTGTGGTTGGCCCTATTCTATTCATTCTGTCTGTGCCTTTAAAAGATCTGAATCATTGGTACTCGCCACAATTCACAGAGGCAGTAATTGACTATTTTATTTAATTGAGGTTGGAGGTTTATGGCTGCAGTTGATGGACTGGGAGCACTTTTTCAAACTGCCACATCGAAAAATATGGCATTAAAATTAATGTCCCAAATAATCAATTGGTAGGTTTGGCAAAAATAACAAAACACCAAAATGACCCACCGAAACTACAAATGAACAGAGCACTTCTTCAGGCTACAAAATTCCTAGGACTAACATATGACTCAAAATTAAAGTGGATTAAACATTTAAGCAATACAAAAACCAAAGTTTGGTAACACACGAACTAGGCCAGGAGTCTAACGGGTAAAAGCAGTGAAGCAACAGCCAATAACATAATCATAATTTACAAAACATATTGTTATGTCTCCGTTTCTTAATTAATTTTCCGTAACTTCGTTCCGAAGAAACTTTAGCGACACAAGTCCTTACTTAATAAAACTGGTTTACTCTTTCTGAATATAACTTTATGATACACTTAATTTCAACATTCGAGCTAAAACAAATGCTATAACAAACGTTAACTTCAACAATACTCTCCGACTGCAGATCAATTACTCACTACCTACACATTGTCACCATCTTATATATACCAGACTACCCCCCAATCTAGGAAGGTTCGAGAAAGAAGTGGCGTGATTATTACTAGCTGAGTTTGGGTGTGAGGTAATGTCATACTCTCAGCCATGTTCTATCAATAAACTCTCAGTAGAAAGGATGGGATACAATTTAATGACAAACCAAAGAAATAAAAGATTATAGTTAAAAAAATAAATTCATACACATATTTATATATAACACTTTAAATGCTGAAAAAAGTATTAATTTAAACATGACTGGAAAGTACAAATTCATTACCATTCATGGCAATTTTTCTAATTTAATGAATAATAAACATGACACATGCATAATCACTTAAGCATGGTAACATTGCAACCAGTGGAGCATGCATTTTTCAATTTGGACATACAAGTCATCATTTAATGGCCCCCAAAAATTGAGCAATATTAGCCTACATATTATTCAGTATTATTATTATTAAATGAGAATGGGAGACAAGTGACACAAGCATAACAAAAGCTAGGGCAAAACTTGAAGCTAAGTGTAATTAAAAGGTAATTGGTTATGCATAAAATGGTGGTTCTGAAAAAAATGATTCTCCACTAGTTTTATGACTTTCATTTAGTCCATAGTCAACTTTTTCTTTAATTTTGTTCTGTCTTTAATTTATAACAAAATATTCACAATGTAAAGAACATTCTGTTCTAATCTGAATATTATTTATAACAGACCCTTTTCCTATTAAACATACCTAAGATTAAGTATTGGTTTACTAATGATATCTCATTCTTGGCTTTTTTCATAAGTTAGAAATTTGTATACTCTTTTCTTATTAATGAAATTCATTTCTGCAGAGTAAATTCATTCTTTTGCTGTAAGTTTACACTCTTGACATTTCAATACCACAGGTTATTCCCAGTAATTAACAAAATGACTTACAAAAATGTCAAAGCCTCATTTTTTTCTCTGCTGAATTAAGTGCTTCCTCTGCTAACTGAACCCTCATCTGAAGCTTAGGAATGATATCCTTTGTAAGCCTGTCTTTCTTTCGTAATAGAAAATGATGCATAAAGAGTCTAAGCCCTTCCCGTAAAACCTTCAACTTAGGGGCAGGAGCAATACGTAAGAATACACTTTGACAAGTTTCCTCAGAGTCGTGGAGAAGAATGGCAAGGAGAATCTGTCGCAAGAAACGAACCAAAGTTTTGTCCATTTCTGCAAAATGAATGACCTAGAAAGAAAACATTGATTTTGTATTTAAAATATATTACAGTGAATTACCACTTATTGAACAATGTCTATAACATAATGCAAAGGTGTTTACATTAATTATCTGAGAAACATAACTGGGCAAAGAAGTTACTATAATAAACCCGAAAGATATTCAAATAACAAGAACTTAGTGAATTCTTTTAAGTGCAATACTGACAACTATTTTATGTTATAGATAACAAATGATACCATTTTCTGAAATTGCAGTAATCTATTTGATTGATGGTACAAAACACATTTACCAATGTAACTTAAAATTTTAGATTATCACAGGAAATGTTAAGAGCAAACATTTTCAACAAGTTCCATAATGTGATTAGTTGTTCAAGTTGAAAGAAAAACTACACCAGTGCCAGGAAGATCTTTATTTGTAATGTTTCTTATAAGATAAAATGTCATTGTTTCTAAACAAACTCTTGTTCAGTTTTTTACATTAAAATTAAGATTTAATACAACTAATTAGACAGGGTAAATGAATGAGGCAACAAATGATAATTACTTAAAAAAAGAAACAGATGGCCTATTAAACTTAACGCCATAAAATAATTTTCTCACAACTGTTATGAAAAGACTAATAAAATTAGTCTGTAAATTTCAATCATTTTATTATCAGAAAATTGTAATGAAATGTTTTACGTTTCTTCATATCTACAAATATTGAAAACTTTCTCTAACTTTTTAATATGAAGAAGCACTATCAGATAATCTTCAGGACACACAAGAAGTTGACACCAATTTCTTAAAATAATAAACTCTAAATTTTACATAATATATGTAAAACTAAATCACTATTTCAAAGTTTATTATCAAACACATCTGTTAGTTAAAATACAGAAAACATATTACCTTTTCAGGTATAAGATTTTTTTCCTATGATATTTCTCCATTGTTTATAACATACAAGACAATGATTTGCAGATTATAAATTTAGAAAATGTAAACAATTAAACATTAAGAATTCATTACATTTTCAATAATGTTTAAAGTAAAATAAATCTTTTTAAGGTAAATGTTCCAGAATAATAATAAAAAAGTAACTTTGAAATAGTTTTTAATTTGGGATTATAATAAAAATTTAAAACTTTTTTGAACTACGAAAATATTATGTTAACCCAAAGACAGAGGATTTGTTTGTCTTAGATGTTCATAAAAAGCAAAATAAGGGCTAGGTGAACTAAATGCAACTAGTTTTTAACTTGTACACTAGGTGAAAGCTGCACAGCTAGTTAGTAGCACCCATCACCAATACTCAGGCCATTCTTATGTGACCGAATAATAGGATTTGACCATCACTCTTATAATGCACAGCCTGTCACAAAGTGCAAACCATGGACCTTCAGGTTTACAGTCCATGCACATTCCAACAAAAGGAATAAAAAATTCACTCAACATGAAATATATTAAGTTACTTTTATTTCAGAATTTTTCACAAATTTAAGTTGAAAAAAAAAACAAGGGTAAGAAGTTGCCTACTTTGTTTTCCTAATCTAAAATACAGTTTTAATTATAAAATTTAGTCAACAAAGTTTTACATTAAACTGTATACAAAATAAAGCTAAAAAAATCAGTTAACTAAAACTATGGTACTCACTTTTAGCACTGACAAAGGCAGAGCATTATGGGTCAGCTGATGAACTAAAAGTTGAGCTAAATTTGTCAGTTGGTGTTTTTTTAAATTCCCAAGCTCTTTGAACTTATCCCATAGAGCAAACTGAAGCGCCATCTAAAAAATAAAATTACACAATTGATAAATGGAGGCACACACTTAAGTATCACATATAAAGGTTCTTAACTGAAAAAAAGTATCTTTAAATCATATTATTTATACAAGTAGGACATTATTTTTCCAAAGTATATGCTATCAGTATCTACTAGATCTCATGCTTAACTAAGGAGTAAATTAGAAATTATAAAAAAATTACTGTTATATTTCCTTAAATCAAAAAATAGTATAAACATTCCTTGTTAACTTACTTTACTCATGAATCTCATAAATTTATAATGTTTAAAGATGTTCAAGAAAAACTAATGTTCAAATTAATTCTGTTGTTTCCTAGATATTCGTATGAAATTATTCACCACTACAAATGTGGAAATTTTCTATAATCAAAATCATCGAATTTCAAACATCTTTATTTAAAGAACATAAATTGGGGGGAAGGGGTGGGGGTTGTAAATTTTCCTATACTGCAATTTCTGTGTTGTTACTTCAAGAAGAAAAAGGGTAAAAAAAATCATTTCAAAAGTCAAGGTATTTTTATGGTAATTAATAGAAAAGAACTGAAAGAATTAATCTTTAAAGAAGAAGAAATACTTTTTAATACTGATTATCTTAAATACCTGAAACCTGCGGTCAGCTCCACAGAATCTCTGTATCAAGTGACCATAATAAGGGTTGAAATGACTCTCCTGAAGACAGCAGTCCATAGTAACAAGGATAATTTCTCTCTCTTGCTCTTTGTTTAATCCCAAGTGTAAGAGCTTCTCAAAGGCATCTAAAAAGTCCTGCAAATTCCAAAACCTTGATCATTTAGTTTGTAAAACTAACAACTGATTACTGTTTACTATTACGTATCGTAAACCAAAGAGATGTAGCAAAACCTAATAGAATGGCATCTACATTTAAAGTCAATGAATGCAAAACAAAAGTACAGGCACGGGTACAAAAATTTCACTATTAAGTCTGAATGTGTAAACAAGAGAGTGACATTGAAACGTTTAATGTCAACCAACAGATGGGAAGAATGTTGAAGCTTTTTTACGACTGTATATAAAATACAAGTTCAGAAAGTATTACAATAATTTTGAAATGTACTGAAAATATTCTAAAATCAAAATTTCATAAAAAAAAAGGGTAAATATCGAATGACCAAGCTATCAAAAACAAAGACATGTCTGATATAGCTTCCACAACTTCTTATACAAAACATACGCATACAAGCACAAACTTTGAGTTGGGAATACTGCACAGACATGTACTTTATGTTCCTTTTTAGGTATAGTCAAAAACACATAAGCAAAGGGAAAAAGCATATAAATTTAATAAGCTCACCACACATTCTTGGTTGAAAACTATTACCAAAACACAAAGTTTTTTTTATTAAACAGTTCCACTGTTTTGGTTAATATATATAGAGGCAGAGTGATCAACTTTTTATATAAACTTAGGTACAATTGACCAAATATTTTCTGACGAAAAAAAGTATGTATTTAAATAGTAGAATTTCATCAAACACCTACAAAAAAAATAGAGAGAATTTCCACAAATTATCTGACCCATTTTAAAAATTAATAACTTCAAAAATATTATAGATAAAACACTTTGGTTTGATTATGCTTAATGAACAACTCAAAGTTTTCCTCCTTTCTGTTGCAGATCAGTTATAGGAGCATTTCTAGAAAAGAGTTCCTCAATAACATATTCCCAGACAAATGGATTGGTATAGATGTACCGACACGATGGTCCCCACATTCCCATGACACAATCTTATTGGATTTTTTCTTGTGAGGGGTTGTGAAAGATCAGGTATACTTGACACCTGTGCATGGTGTCATGGATCTTTGCCACAGAATAATTGATGCAGTAAGGATTGTGACTTTCAAGATGCTGAAAGGGAGATAAGAGTATCACCTAGACATTCTTGAAGCAACAAATGATGCACATGTGGAAGTATACTAACACAAGAAAAAAACTTGATGGGTTGTTCATCAAGATAAATAAGACCAGTGTTCTATCTATAACATTTTTGAAGTAATTAATTTTTAAAATGGCTCAGATAATTTAGATACCCCATGTGTGTGGCTATATATGAAGAGAGATAGCATGGCATTTTCTACTCTCATTACTTTTGCTTTGAAAATAACTTAGAAAATGTCATAACATTTTTAAAATCTCATTCTTTTAAATGAGACATTATAGACCACTCCAGATATTCTTCTTCCACCTAAACAAATGTATCTCACTGAAAAAAAGTGATCCATATTTGTCTGAAAGTTTTTACCAAGAAGCACACATTATAGAAGTACAAAAACAGTATAATATGAAGAGCAATAGTGTAAATAAAATTTCCTAAACTATTTTCAAGTAAAAAAAATATACTTTAGAAATATTCAACAAAATCAGTCTCGTACCGACGGTGACATTCTGTAAATTAAAGAGCCTTAGCTAAATTAAAATGCACACCACAACATTAAAAAGTGCATGATAATTTACTATAAAAAATAAAGAGAGAGAGAGAGAGAAGCACCAGTCTCAACATGCTTCTGCAGTATTATACTCCACTATCATTAGGCTTTCGTTTCACTAAAATAAAACCAGGCAACAACTGCTGTTTAAAACTCTCTTGAGACAATAGAAAAGTAAATCCTATCCTCACAATAGTTTATCACTAGTGAAAAGTGTCAATTTACTAGTAACATAATTATTACCTCAGATTACACATAATCAAGATACTACTGGATATTCTTTTCTGTTACAAAAGACAATGATGTGTCACAAAATCAATGGAAAAAACAAGAAGGAATTTGGAAAGTAGGACATTTTATGATAGCAGATTACTGAAGCATATGCACACTAGTTAAAACCTGTCAACAGTTGATCTAATGGCTAACTCAAAAAAAATTATATTCAGCACAAAGCTAATCATGGTAAAACATGTTTCCACCCATAGTAACAACTCAGTTCTATACTTTTCTCACCCCCTTTTTTTTTTGTTTCTTTAAAAACTATTGAAAAAACACTTACAAAAAATAAGGGGAAGTTAAAGCATTTGAAAACATACAAGTCCTATACTCAAGAAATAATTCAAGTCTTTAAATGAATTACTTATCTGGTGGCTGGTTTTTATCACTGAATTTGAAAAAACACTTGTTATTAAATTATGATTAAAACTTATTCCATTACCTGAACAACAAAAAATTTCAATAATGATAACATAATAAATCTTCATTGTGAAAAATGTTTAATGAATATTTTATATAGTTGATTCTTTTACTTATTTCTATTGTACATTTGCTGTTATGTTAAACTTGTATTAAAGTTTTTTTCATTACCCATTCAAGCCATCCCCAAGCATTATTATTTCTATTAGATTTCACTCTTTACAATTTAAGTATTTTTGTGGTGATAAATTTTGAGTTTGTGTTCATCTTACTTTCCTGTTGAGGAAAGGGTTATAACTAATATAAAATGAAATAAACATTAAAAAATATAATACCTACTTACTTCTGCTGTTATGAGGATACAGAAGATCTTTTTCCTCACATCTGTATTCATTCGTTGTTTCCGTGCTAGTTCTAGGATGTGATCGCTAACTTCATCTAACACTATTGGTCCACTTTCTACATTTGTTGTTCCTGAAGATTACAACATTGAATCAACTTAACCTACTGATTGCTTAGATATATCAACAGACTTCATTAAGACAAAACTTATGGCAAATGAGAAAAAAAACCTTTAGATAATAGATAAAATGGTGAACAGATTACCAGTTACTATTTCAAGAGATATAAAGCTAAAGTTACAATTCTAATCCTTAGGTTTACATTCTATGGTTTCAAGTGGTCTGTCTCATTCTTCAGTCTTCAAAACTTTAGTTCTACATTCTTTAATATGAAGAATCAGACCATAGAATGTATACTAAAGTTCTGACGACTGAAGAATCAGTCGTCAGAACTTTAGTATAAATTCTACATATATTGACCTTCCATGTGTACAGTACACTCTGGAACCAAGCTACAGCTATGAAATTAGCACTACCTGTACTGAAAGGGCATGAATGACATTTCCTGTTCTTTACAATCTCACAGCTCAAAATACTTAACCAAACTGAGTGAAACATGACAAAAACCTTCTAAATAGTGTCTAGTTTATTAATGAAAAAAATTATTAAAGTTCCATTTAGTATTTACGTTTTTGGAGTGTAAGTGTTCAAAATTCAGAACAAAACAAATTCCTTTATTCATCCCAGACTTCCCATCTTTTATTATTGAACAGAAAGTTTCATTTTGTATTTATTCATCAGTATTAACTTGTTTGACGTCCAATAATATATTTATTTTGATGTTTTATTTTACCAATGAAGAAGTAAACTTTCCATTAATAAATCATATAGATACCCTATGATTGACAAAGACTTATTGATGAACAATAACTTTACATTTTGAAATGGCTTTTCACCATTATCTTGTCAGGTATCACAGCCAATAGTTGAGATGAATTTATTTCTAAAAGTTTAAGCTTCTTTTCAATAAACACAAAATTCTTGTTGTTTTTTTTTTGTGTGAGTGTCAGATACAACAAACTTAATATGTTCAATAAAAATGAAAAGAAAAAAGATTTGTTTCACAAGTTAGCTTACTATACTTGCTAAATCTAAATTATCTTTGCCCGGCATTTTGTGATACAAGAACATTCTTGTAGCTTTCAAACAGACGTAACAAAAATATTTTCAGAAATAAAAAAACCTACAAAATATTCTTAGATCTATGGTTCATCCCAAAGTGTTCAAAACTTTGCAATCAGATTCATTATTCATTCTACAGAAATTCTCCAAAAAACACTTTTATTCTGTTGTTTGAAAGATTATAATCTTCTCTATCCAATCATTACTAGCCTTGGGTTTTAGCATTTTCTCAAAGCTAATATATATCACATGTAGTTAGATTACCACCCTAACTCTGTAACATGATAAATTACGAACTTGCAGTAATGTTTGTTTTGGATATAAGTGCATATCTACATAAGAGCTATCTATGCAAGCCATCTCTAATTTTAAAATGATAGCATACAAGAAAGGCATCTACTCAACACCACCCAACACCAATCCTTGGGCTACTCTCAAATAATGGAATTTTACCATCACTGTTATACACACCCACAGCTCCCAAATGTGGAATGAGTTTGCAGTAATGTGATAAGAACCATGTAGCGCACTAACTACTAAGCCAAAACCAGCCTGCTTGTAGTAATAAAATCACTAACCAATAAATAACGTGGAGAAAGAAGACAAGGTCATTATTTTGCCTAGGAATGATAGTTTCTTAGCAAATATAAGTTTAAACAACGAAAAATTATTAAAAAGTAGTAAGTTTATTGTTTACGAGCAAGGTTCCAAAGTATTGTGTAGAAATGAAAGCTGGAAAAATTGTTCATATTTCTCCATGAATTATAATATTATATGATGCTAAAATATTAGTCCAAAAATATTTTTGTTTGAAGCATATTTGAAATAGTTACATTTCTCACTCAATTTGATACACAATTATGCACTCACTAGTCATGATTGAGTTAAAAGCTTTTAGTTCATATTTTGAGTCAATCCAAACTCAAACAATAGTCTTCGATTCTCAGACTTTCATTTTTAAACATTCTTAGATAAAGAAACATACCTATTTGCTTAGCCTACATCCTATATTTGGAACAGTTCATGCTGAAATTAGAAGCTATGCACATTTGGGAATACATCCCAAGCTTGCTTCCACTGAAGATATATAATCTTTAGCATTTTAAAGCAAGTACTCTAACTTGGAGCCAAATTTTGTGAAATGATCAACACTGAAATTAAAATCTCAACTCTGATCTACATTGTACATAATGAAACAGTTTGAGTTCAAGCTACAGCCAATTTTGAATTTACATTATACATACTAAGTGGTCTATATTGAAGCTAGTCTCAATTTTAAATCTACAATATACCTACTGAAGTGGTCTATACTGAATCTACTCTCTCAATTTTAAATCTGCAATATACCTACTGGAGTGTTCTATACTGAAGCTAGTCTCAATTTTAAATCTACAATATACCTATTGGAGTGTTCTATACTGAATCTACTCTCTCAATTTTAAATCTGCAATATACCTACTGGAGTGTTCTATACTGAATCTACTCTCTCAATTTTAAATCTACATTACATGTACTGGTCTCAGTTGAAGTTAGTCTTGAAGGCTGTACATTCTATATTTTAAAGTGGTTGAATATTCAAACTACAGATTTAATCACTCCAGTCTACATTCTACACATGGAAATGATGTGAAACTACAGATACAGTAGTTTAGTAGCCAAAACAATACATTTGTAACAGTTTATGCTGAAGCTCAGTCTTAAGGTCTACAGTCTTGGCTTTAGTTTTTAATGGTTTGCCTTGGCAGTATCAGTACTAGCTGATGATAAATATTTCCACAAACATGTCCTGATCTTCTTCATTTAATATCAGTAAGGGAAATTTACATGGTTTTATAGCTATAATGAGGATATAATAACTGAAAGTTAATAATGTGATTAAAGAAAAAACAAATGTGTAGAGACAAAGATACTGAGTAAATACTACCAAGGTTTAACTGAATGTGCAGGGGATCAGTCCAATGGACTGACTCAGTACTGAAGAAAGAATTAGATGTGTTACAAAAGTATTTGTCCCCACGAGTCGGTGTTCGGGTGATGTTCACATAAAAAATAAAAACACTTTTGTCCATCACACAGTTTGCATATTCTTTAGAACCTTAAAATGCATATCTATAGTTTTTTTTGGTATCCCTGTATATTGTATCTTGTATTAACTCTCCTCTACCATAAACTGTCATTAAATCAACAATGTAGGGTAATATGAACAGTTGATAACTGACATCAAATATATAACCATGTTGAATGGATCTATATAAAATGGCATGGCATGCACTTTTACACCAATTGATGCACATAAATCTAAAGTAAACAATGAGTCAACTGCTGCATTAACAAAAATTCTAATATAACTCCATCCCACATTATAATTACAAATTTTTAGTTTTCCATTTACACTGCTCAAAACTAAAGCTACCTAACAGTATTTCTCCAATAATGTACATTCTGAAGATTTAATATTATATAAGACAAGTTTAATGATGTATATTTCTACACTGTCAGAATAACTAATGTTTAGGACTACTTGATATTCAAGCTTACCAGAGTTCTTTTCTGTGATTTCACCAGACCAAGCAGATCCAACAATCCACCAGCGCCCTTTTTCTTCAGCATTCAGCAAATCTTCAAGTGAAATCTTAAGTTCTTGCACAGTGCAACCTACAGGTACAGCAAAACAATGTATTACTATTACAACAAAAATAAATCATTTACATAAATGTTGAAGAATGCTTATAAAGACTGAATATTAGATTAACCGACTGTCTAAACATAGGCTACACCTTTAACATGTATTACAATGGAAATTGTATATATTACTACTGAAATTACCAACTTTATAAACTAATCTACAAGTTTTAACTTATTATACGTATAGAAAAAAAAGAAGCAACATATTATTAAGGAAATGAACATCTATACCTTCATAAATACACCACAGTGAAATATTAAATAAAGGCATTAAAATAAGCAACACTAATTAACCTATTTCAATTTGCTTATCTATGATCATATAGTTTGTGTTTGACACATACACACCTTTACGAACAAATCCCCGCAACACTTTCCGTAAGTGCTCCACAAGACTTGGGTCATAGTTAGGTATTTTGTGCATATTATTATTACGTATTGCCATAAGGGTATCCAACATGAACCGTACACGAGCCTGGATTGAACTGTCATGAGAACAATGATATACATGGCTAATTTTTGTTCGCACTGTTGCTTTGTATCCCATATTTAAGTTAAAGTAAAGATTATTTAGTATCACAAAGAAACCTCCTCTTTACTATAGTTCATAATAGTTTAATATTTTTTATGGAAAGAATACACAACAGAGATGACTATTTTAAAATGCAATGATTTAAAAGTACGCAAAACAGATCATGGATATCAAAGATCCAATACAAAATACATTTTTGATATTACAGATACAATACAAAATGTAACTTGGACATCACAGATAAAATAAAAAAACAGATCTTGAATATCAAATACAAATTAAAATAACCATATATCAGTTTTTTTCCTTTAACAAGTTGATTAGTCACTTTAATATTAATTTGACCTGGTCACTTACAGCATGACTAAAAGAAAATCGTAAAAACCAACATATAGGAAATTTGGCTGTTGCACAAAAGAATATCAAAAATAGTCCACCTGAAGCAGGATCCTAATGCATTATTTGGTAACAATATGCAAAACAGATAAAAGTGAGATACAGAATATTTTTTTTACACATCTTCATTATACACAGGTTTAGTATTAGAACTGAATTCAATACCAAAATTTTGCAGATAGCAGCTTTTCCCATTTTTAGATGATACTCTGCAATCCCAATGAATCAACATTATAAAACCATCAGAAGTAATATACTGCCTTCTGACTCTGCATACAATATTAGAAGAAGCATTGTTTACTTTATCAAAATTGATTCTCACCAAAAATACCACTAAATAAATAAATATTTAAACACAAAAGGTTTAGAAACAAGATTCAATAATAATTCCAAATATAACACCATATTATATATAATTCACTCATTATTTCATGTTACCCATTTATATATATTTCATAAACAGATAACAAAAACCACAAAAGCCAAATTCTTCTTAAACAGTTTCTGCTTCTGATAAACATTTACTAATTTGTGCATGTATTTAAAACTTGTTATTCACGTGTTCCTTCAAGTTCAACATATTAACATTTAGTTTGTATTAATCATATGATCTTGTATCTTTGCAGGATGACAATTAATATATTTACCACACACACATTATTCAACCACTACTTCACAAATCCATCATCTTTAAACTGCCACTTTGTGCAAAGTTTTATGCCCATTAATATCTATTATTCTGCTACCAATCAGCCTTTTCATACTTTTTTTTCCAGTCTTACAAACATTATTAGAATAAAAAGTATTATCAATTCTCTAATACTGCCTGGACAGTGAAACAAAAGCCTCTAAATAAGAAAGGGAAATGTCTAAAAACGTTCTGTGTCTGATTAGGGTAGGACATGATACCTTTGAAAATTATTACTTTCTGACAAACATTTTTGTACACGTGAGCATAAGAATAGACTTAATACCACAATCTTTCGTGGTTAATACCTCCCTCCAATAATGTGGTAACAAATGTACTGCATTTTTGCAGAACATTTGTTATATAACTAACATGAAAACATCGAAATGGTGTTAATAAAGAGCTATTAAGAAAGTGTGTTAATAAAACTAATACGACAGTCCAAATCCCTCCTCTATGCACACACACACACACACACACACACAAATTACTACAAAGGACTCAATTTAGTTACAATACAACAAAATGTATTATAATTTCTAATAACCTTATCAACATTTTCCCAGAAATATTGCTAATGTGAATTACTTTCACAATACATGCAGTGTTGATCATATTCAGCTCTCAAAAAATATGAAAAATGTGTCCAGGTCTGTTGTAATCAATGGACAGGAACCACTTTTGTCAAGACGATGAGGAATAGTATTCTACATATGTTCATTAAGTTTCATGAAAGTCCAATCGATTTTGCCTGAGTTATAGAGCAAAAATAGAGTGAAAAAATCAGTCCCCATGCTAACCAACAGAGGTGTTTTTAGATTTTTGTGACCTTGACCCTCCAAAAACTAATCACAGCTAAGTTTGGCCACAGTCCAAATGTATACCAACTTTTGTCTAAATCCATTCAGCTGTTTCTGACAAATCCTGCTCACAAACACACACACTGGTGAAAATGTAACCTTCATCACCTTTGGTGGTGGAAGTAAAAATGTTATTGAGCAAGAATTTTCAAACTAACGGTTAAAAAATAAATTGTCACATTTTTTAGTTGCTAAAAAAAAAGTTTGTATGGTGTTTGATTTGCCTTTTTTTACTCAAAACAAACTTCAATTTTATTGGTACTTGAGGAGTAGGTAACACTTTGCCAACAAGATCATTATAATTGTTAGAAGTCAGATCACACAAAAAGTGTATTGAATTATGCCCATCAGTGGTCAGATTTATAATTTTGCTATAAGTAATTAGTTTGCCCTGTTCATAAGTTAATATTAATTAACTCTCTGGATATGAGTAGATAAAATTACACGTCATGACCTTTATACAGATTTACACTAGAAATTTAATTAAACTACTTTATTATTAATGTATGTCAATAAACTTGGCATCAAAACAGAGTTAATAAGTCATATTTTAACACAAGTTCAATAAATTCACAATCTTCAATTTACGTATCACATGGCATTTGTTCACTCCAAATTGCCCACTTACATTCTACTACCCCATTTAAGCTTCTGAATTTTAATATATAATACAAACTTGTAGATATTGCTGTGACATAACTTATAGCCTCCAATCATCTTGATTTATAGTAGTATAAACTAGAAAGTCAAACCCACATGCCACAACCTCCTATCACATACTGTCTTTAAAAAAAAATGTCAATAATTCCATATGATGTTTCCTATTACATTATTTATAACCAACAATAAGATATCTTAATTTATTGAATTATTTATAATGTTAATGCACTCTGATGACAGCTTTTGAATTAATCGCCCTATAGATTCAAAGTTGCTTTGCCTTGTCCACCTCATACATGGTAAGGGAATTATTTTAACACACATACAGCTTAGTTAGAAAGCCAGTTTAATTATAACAGTTATAGAACGTTGTGCATGTTATGTTGTGTTCTAAATTGAATATTTGAAATAAGTAAAAATTCAGTAACATACTAACAACAACCCTATCAAGAATTATTGTTAACTTCTATTGAAACATCAAGTCTTTTACTGGAAAAAAGTAAAAATACTGCATATAAGTACTACATTTCTTTTTTGTATGTATACTTTTTACTTACTGTTATAAAAGTAATTAAGATGTAAAACTTAGAAGCTCATTATTTTAGATAAGAAAACATAAATGAAAAAAATAATTAAATCACTCACTGAGGTATGCATGCAAACTGCATTACATGATTCAATACTTTGTTTTACCATCACTTGAGCTATTTGCTCACCAGGCATTTACATCTTTGTAAAGTCAGAGACTGAGTCTGACTGATATTCCATAAATTCACAGGCAGATCTTTAATACTTGATTTCAAGTTTGAGTTTTTGTGTGCACAGAGCACTTGTAACGGTTATTAAAGGTCTACCAAATTTGACAATCAAAGTTGCGTTGCAGGCGTTATATATATTATCAATTTTCATGTACAACTATTAGGATGTGAATCAGAAAAAGAAAGTGAGCTGTAGTTATTATAAAACAAATCAGAATATTTTAGGTAATGACTAATAACACAACATTACTTATTTTTTATTTTAACATTATTTATTATTTATTTATTTTGTTTGTATTTGATTTTAAAATTATTCACAAGAACTGGCAAACCAACAAGATAGCTTTCTTATTCTCGAAGCAGGGTAATGTAACAACAGCACCAATAGGAGAAAACCACATTACATCTAAAACACTGACTTAATTTATACATTCTCAAAAATTTAACAGAATTAAAAAATCATAAGTTAAGTAAAAATCCATGTGGTAAACACTAGAATTTCAATGATTAATATTGATTGTAGAAACATGATGAAATATTTTTTTAATCTGGGTACAAACTAACCTGTCTTCATTTAAATCTGCTGACTTTGACTGAAGGTCTAATATTACATCCTTCAGAGTTAGTGGATCATCCTTTCGTAGACTGAACCCCACACCTAACATAGTAATTGAAAAGGTATACTAATATATATGAGCAAATGCTATGATTAGGTTATTTTTCATTCATATTATATACTCTTTGTTCTAAAATATAATTCGGCAAAGGATTTTGTTTATCAACAGGAAAAATCCAACAGCAGTTTTAAAGTTTAAACACTAAATGGTAAATTCAGTAAAAAATAATAGTTATGACAGGCCCAAAATCAGTCATAGATGCATAACAAACCCAAAATGTCAGTAAAATATTTTGGAGGATAAAATTCAGTTTAAGAGAATTTTGGTAACATTTTCATTCCTACAGTCGATAATACCTATGTATGAGAAGTTTTACTTCAAATATCACATAGTTCATCATTACAGTTTGTTAGTTGAATTTTCACACAAACCTATTATTTAGAGGGCTATCTGCACTAGCTATCCTTAAAACTGAAGAGATAGACTAGAAAATGTGTTTAGTAAACACCATATACTACTAACTCTTGGGCTAGTCTTTTACCAATGAATAGTAGGATTGACCATCACATTATAACTTTCTCATGATCTAATGTATGAGTACATTCATCAATGAGTTTTGATTCCATGACTCATAGGTTGCAAGTAAAGTGCCATAACCACCGGTTCAAGCCAGGCCCCCAGGATTCGTTATAAATATTAGAAACATTTAAATTACAAGCCCAGAGGCTGAAAAATTGTTGCTGTGCACAGTAACATCAAAATATACATACTGTCACAAAACCTCATGTTTTGAATAAGTTAACACCATTACAAAAAAAGTTTAAGTAAAAATTAACATCTCAACTAAACTTTACAACAAAATGAGATTTATCAAGTATCAAATCAACATCAGAACAAAAATATGTGGCTGTTGTTGGCTTATCTCTTTACCAGTCAGCTTAAAAAACAAAATGGATTGGTGGAAAGATACTGAATCGATCATTATTATGTGCCAAAAAATAGAATCTTCAAAAAAAAAGATAACTCTATAAAATTTCAGTCATTATAATTATAGATATAAAAATATTTTATAAAATCATTATAACAAGTTACTAAATCAGGCTTGTTTTGTATTTTTCAGGATGGAGGGAGAAGTATTGGAAAATTACAAAATTTAGCAATACTATGATCATCAAAAATAATTATTTTGTGAAGATTAGTTGGCAGTAACTGTGGTATTTTGTTGATAACACTTCTTTATAAGTTATCAGAGAGAACAGTTTATCTTCAAGATATGTCAAACTAGCTGAGTAATTAGTTGGTCAACCTAGAGATATATTTAAGACATTTTATTGGGATTCAGTAAAATTTATTTTTACATATATTGTCACAACTGCACCTTATTTAAATTAATAAATCTACAAATATATACTGACACACAATGAAAATGAAACAGTAAGTTTCACATCAATAGCTCATTGGGTACAAACAAAATATTATTTACATGCTAAATATACTGAGCTTAAGTCATGCAATTTCATAAAAATTCCAATATATTCTAATATCCAAAAAAATCTTTATATAATATTTGGTAACTTTATTTACAGACAACTAAGTGTAAGGTTATATTTTAGTAACTTGGACAAAACTGCAGGTTTCTAACTATCCAGAAAATATTTTACTTTTATTATACAAAAAATAAAACTTACTTTTTAAAATCAAAAGGATGAGTTCAATGTCCTTTTCTTTAAAATGATTGGCCAAACAACGCAGTATATCATAAATCAAAACAGAATGGGTGACCTATGAAAAATGAGTATAAAACTTCTGAAGAAATATGCTAATAATCAACATAATTTCACTCCTACATGTAGCAATTACAAAATATGCATTCTTGTTGTTAATACAGATTATTGAACAAATTTACCTTCGTGATTTTAATGGTTATTTTTTATTATTGTAGATTTGGAGACATGTACACATACAGAGAAATGGTCTATTCTGAAGTGAAAGGAAAAAATGTAATTTAGAATGGAAATAAGGTATCATTAGTTTTTATATCCATAACTTTAAAATAATCCCAATTTTTACTGAATATACCAGAAAATAAAATACTATTAATCTAGATTTAAAAAATAATCTTATAACCTTCTTAAGAAATAAGTAAAAAAAATCTCACTTTATTTATTTATTTTTTTGCAAGCAAGTTCTCTAACTACAGGGCAAGAACAAGCAAAATAGAATAGTTTTAAAAATATTGTGTAAGTACTTTTCTTTGGTTTGAAATTTGTGCAAAGCTACATGAGAGCTATCTGCGCTAGCCTTCCCTAACTTTACAATGAAAGACTAGACGGAAGGCAGCTAGTCATCACCACCAATCACCAACTCTTGGGCTACTCTTTTACCAACGAACAGTGGGATTGACTGTCACTTATAATGCCCCCATGGCTGAAAGGACAAGCCTGTTTTAGTGGGATGAGGATTTGAACCCACGACCCTCAGATTGCGAGTCAAGTGCCCTAACCACCTGGCCATGTCTGTAGTCTGCATCATTATCACTGATAGCCACTGAGTTAATATGAGCAAAGTTAAGAGCATTGTTAATATTGCTGTAGATTCTACCCAATTAAGTTATCTAAAAACACGTCTTGTTTTGCTCAAGTTCAATTTTCTCAAATATTTTTAATAGTGAATATAGATCTAGCTAGGAAAAAGAACTTAAATGATTTGAATTTCATTCTAACACAGTTAACAAGTGCTTGTTCCATAAACGTGTCAAACTAACTTTACCCTGCATGTTTAAACAGACTTTCAAGCTGGTTCTCTGAACAGCAATCAGCTAATTTCATTTTCAACTCTTAAGTAGAATGTATCATTAAAACCATTCTTTTCAATAAATTTTACGGGAATTAAAAGTCTTAATATCATAAAAATAAAACTTAATGATTTAAACATTTAAGCAAATTCTAGCAAACATTTTCCACTATATATATTTTTGTTCCTTACGATATTTTAAACACTGAAAAAGAAATGTGGTAAAAAATGCAATTATGATGCTGTTGCTTCAAATGGTTATTAAAGAAATAAAAGTGAGATGTGGTAAAAAATGTAACTTGAAAATAATTCATCTTAGTTGAATTTACAAGTATTACTACAGGGTGACCAAAACGTTTGGAACCATAGGTCATTTTCGGATTTTCCTAATTTCAGATACATTACTGATTATGCTGCTGTCAAAGCATAAGAAGGTCGAGTTAATCTTTCTGTTAACCCAAACTGGTTTCAAGTTACAAGAACATGTGGAACACATACTGAAAATTTACTGACATGCCTATGGTTCCATACTTTTCAGACACCCTGTATTTTATTTAACTTTTGCCTTTACCAAAAGAATTTCAGGAGTCAAGTTCCACAGCTTAGTAACTGTTTTAGTTAATTTTAAATTTAAGTAATTTGCTACAATACAGAACAACAAAAACGTAACTCGATAACCAAAGCCGTGACCAACCTTGAAATTGTATAAATGGGCTATTAATGCCAGAAGGTTGTCACACTCTTTTCCTTGTCCATGATCTGGTCCACTGTTCAGTAACACATTAAATTTGGTGGCAAGTGACTGAAGGAAATGTGCACCTATAGAAACATTAAAATCCAGTTTAAATTAGAAATCTCAAGCAAATTTCAATTATTTATCCAATATTCCAATGAATAAGCATAATGATGGTATATATAAATTTCATAATATGATTGATTCCCCCCTAAAAAAATACTTAAAACATTGTTTTCCAGTTGTTATGTGAAAATATCACAATAACACTAAAAGCAACCCAATTAATTTAAGACAAATATGGAAAATTTTCATAATTTGAAAAGAGGATAAGCCAATATTGGTTAGACCTACCTACAGACAGACAGGCACAACTTTCTCTAACCTTTAGCTGCCTTTCATCTTTAGCTTTACTTACTCAAACACCAGTTATCAGCTTTAACTACAAAACTATATTCATTCAATAGGGTTAAAGATTTTCAAACATTTTACTCTGAGGCCCCTTAAGACCTCAGACATCATGACTGAGAATCCCAACCTAATAATTTAATAGAAATTGTACATAATAGCCACTATGAGGTACCTTACTTTCATTACAATTTGTTCTTTAAAAAATCTCTAGCATAAAAAACACATTATGTAGTCGTATTTATTTCAAGACCTAGACTAATGACATTATTTAAAGTTAGTTTCTAGGGCAATGTTAGCAAGTAAAGAAAATTATTTCTAGATGTAAACAGTTCACTATTACCTACTATTGGATACATGAACTTCAACACAAACAGTTAATGTGACAGCTTCCGAGTTTCAACTCGTCACAAAAGCACAGATTTACCCTTCATAAAAAATTCTAATAGCTTTTACTTGAATCTAACAGCCAGAAAGTGCTTATACCCAGAAGTAAATATTCTTCCAAAAAAAAATCACAAGTTTTCTCACACCATCAATCAAAGCTCTTAAAATCCTTCTTTAATTTTTCACTGACTAATTGACAACAGTGACATAGTAGCACAGTTTCAGTGACAAAACCCAATAATCAATATCACTTCCTTTTCTTTCTTTTTTTGACTTCCTTTTTCCTTCCCCATTTTTTCCCTTCTTTCTTTCTTCGTGACCCTAAAGTTTTCTCCATTATTCAGAAAACTACTTATCCTTATTTCTTTCAAACTCACTTTAATTACCAAAATTAGATAAAACATAAGAAACATATTTTTTACGTTTATGCAGACAAAGCTAACATAAAACAGAATGAACTATTTTGTTGTTACTCACCTACTTCTGTTCCAACATTAGCATGAAGAAGTACTACTAACATTGCATGTTCCATCACTAGCCTTTCTGGAGTTAGAAAAGGTTGTATGATTGCTTCAGATATCAAAGCTGTCAGTGTTTCATTCATATCTGTTTAATGATACAACAAAACATATTGTTAAAAGACCATCATATTCACAAATATGATCAAACTGATTCAACAAGCTAATAGCTTCTGCATATAGACAAACATAATTGTAATTTTTACATACATGTATCACAAATTATAAATTAACACAGGATAGGTGGTTAGTTGGTTCTAGTATTTAGCCAGTGATCATCAAAAGGCAATGGCATTTTTTTGCCGGTTTATAATCCACAAGTGATTATGAATATTCAGATCAGTTGTTAACAATGTCAAAGATATAAAAAAAACTGGCTGAAAGTCCAACATTTATGAGAAAAAATACACAAAGATAACCAATAAATAAGCTTTTTTTTCCAATAGCTTGTTGAATATTGATCTCCCACACTTTTCAGTATGATTCTCAAAGTTCAAAATAGCAAGTAAAGATAACAGTGCATTCAAGCAGTATTCAAGTTATTTTTATCACATCTTAATTTTTATGTTAGAAATTAAAATTATCACAAGTATAGGACTAAAAATTGCATAGAGTAATAAATTAAATTAAAAATGTGATACTCACTAGAAATTCATGTCAGCTGACATGAATTATATCTATTAACCCTTTCCAGATGAGTCACAGGTGAAAGGCCATGTCATCGTGTTTGTTGACTTGCATTCAAAATGTTATTGAACTACTATTTCACAAATTTATGTCAATAAGTTTGGCATCAAACTGTACATTATAATTCAGATTTTAGTATTATACATTACTCAATTTAGTAATTTAAATGTAAATATTAAAAAACACAGTTAAATATTGATTTTTGTGTGTCATGTGGTATGTTGAATGCAGCACTGGTTCAAATTAGGTGTTTGTGATGTTAAAATACTAAGTCTATATTTTTTGTACAAATTTGGAACTCAAATTACCAATATTAACAAGCTAGAATATAAAATAAGAACCTCTTATCTTTTCTATTTGCTAAGATATTGCTCATGTAATAAATCAAACACATTGGCACCCTGCCCACCTCTTTCCATTTTTGGAAATGCTCCCTTATATATATACTTACTTCTATATATGACATGAATAACCAATCCAAAGCTCAGAATGTCCTCCTAGTGGCTTTCTTAGCCATTTTAAACTCTTAGGATGCCATTTCTTTCTTTTGAACCATGATTTCAAAGACGTAGGCTGTGTCTTTAGACTGCTCAAAATTTCATATTCTTTTAGACTGAAATACAGCTTACTTATTAAGACTGATAAATTATAGTGGAATTCTATGATACTGATATATGATTTTTTTGTTTATTCAACTGTAAATATGAAACCTAAGAAAATTTGTTTCATATCCTCCATATGCAAAATTTTAAAAGGCTTAGCAACCTATGTCAAGCAGCAACCGAGTACAAAGGTCATAACTAGAAGAGATAATTGTTTGCTTCTTTGTTTACTGATCTATGTTCTATGTTTTAAGAAAAATAAGTTTAAAATCTATAAATGTATAATAATTGAAATGTGACTGTATTTTACAAAATACTAGTCTACTAAAACACAGCCAAGACAGATCACCTTGTAAAGACTAAAGGTCAGTTTTATATTATTGGATACAGTAACAAGAGTGCACGTGTGCCGCGTCATTGTAACTTCTGTATTGTTAGCCAGGCACAGCCGAAAGGTTAATATAATAAAAATAATAAATATATATATAAATGTATAATGTTATGAGATTTAGTTTAAACATTTATGCTTTCGTGTTATAATTTGTTGTCATTCTAGAATGAAAGAAGCATAATTTATATTTACTTCCTAATTTTTCATGGTGGTTACGAGATTTGTCAAATCTACCAAACCCATACAGAGATTAATTACTGAAAATAACAGATGAAATATAAAGTTTTTTCTTAAGAAACATTTGATAACTATCTCGACATTATAAAAATTTTGCATGTGAAATTTGAAAATTTTCTGATGCATAAAAGTAATTTTTAATCTTAAAATAAAAATTACTTTGCATGTTGGATAGGCAACACGCAAAAAGAAAAAAACCATGAGAAAAACATTGCTTTACTAACCTTAAGACTTAATAAAAAAATTTGATATCTTGCAAATGAAAGCACTGTAATGTTTACTGATAAACTGCCAAATTTCATTAACATTTGCTTACTAATTTAAAAGTTATAGTATGAAAACTATAATAAGCACAAAATGGTTATGAGGTTGGTCCCAGGGACCGAGCCACGCTGAAAGAGTTAATGGTAGAATGATACTTTATTTTACCCTCCCCCCAAAAAGGAGAACTCAGGTATGACATTTAATTCATAGTACACAATAATATAGCCATAGACTTTCTAAACTAATAAAATAAATGTAGTTACTATGGCCAACCTGTAGTACTTGACACGTATATGTTTGACCATCATTCTTATACTACATCCATGGCTCCAAATTGGGGAGCATGTTTTTGCAGCAATGAGTTGCAAACCAGTCCTCTGATTCAAAGTCAAGGTTATCTTTCACCTGCAGTAGCAATTACTGGCCCATGAAAGCAGAAATATAACTATACATAATGTTAATTATCATTATCATAAACCAAGCATACTGCCTAAAAATACATCAGTTTTATAGGTAGATTTCTTCCTTTCACTAACTTTTAACTAAGTCTTCTACTGCCAAGTATAAGCCTATAAACAAATGCTATAAACCAGTATGTTGAACAAAAAATATCTTACCATTTCTACTGTGAGACATATACAAGTCTTCAACGGCACTAGAGATAGGTTTAAGGTTAGACTCACTCAGCCTGTAAATATGTAATAAAAAAATTATTACTGTGTATATGCATGTTCTTCAAGTTACAGGTATATAAACATACATCTGAAAAATTCAACTCAATAAACAGATACATCGATATGCATGTATGAAACAAAACACTTCATATTATTATAATTCTTTATATGATGTATAACTTTTAGGATGAAATCAGGTAATTGTATACATGGCAAAGCTACTGAGGCTATCTGCCCTCATCCCTAATTTTCAACTACTGAATAGATGGAAGGCAGCCAGTCAGCAGCATCCTATTATGCACACTAAAGAACTGATTGTCACTTTTATAATGCATCTACAGCTTATATTGTGAGGAACATTTTGTGGTATTGTACAGATTCAAATCCATTTCACCAATGCTAATATTCAGGGCCCTACCACAGGTTAACCCACACCCTGATAAATATGGATTTTATATTATTATTAAAACACAGCAAATACAGTGCATGATACTTCTTTCAGGGATGTATATGTACCTTCCATTGTATTGCATGTGAATTGTTATATTGTTTCACTGATACCTATAGCAAATAATTCTGGAAGGGAAGACGAAAAGAAGCTCTGTTCTGCACAATTAACGTGTGTTTTGTTAATGTACTGTAAAATTAAATACAATAAAACTGACACGAATACATTAATATGTAATGTGGAAATCATCTGAAATAAGAGTCAGGAAAAAGTTTAAAGAATATAATATATGTATAATAATTTAAATTTCTATAAAAATGTCCATTACTTCCATTTCACTTTTAATTACTCAACCTTAATCTGGATGTCCAGAGTCAACCTTTTCACACCTTTTGTGAATGTACTTGTTCCCAGGAGAGTATAAAGTTACAATACTTTGTTACATAAGCCACTTTAAAAATATAATACAAAAATCAAATCATTTTAACAGAACATACACCACTGTAAAAACTCTCAGCTATACTCTAAGAGTGTTGTTAAGCAGATGGACTATTTAGTTGTACACCGATTGGAGAGTTACTTTCTAAGCCCTTAAAACTTGAACAAACAGTGACCCATCAGATTAAAACACTATTCATAATATAATGTATCATTAGGAGATGAAACTGAAAATTTGTAAGCATCTATCCATTCCAAGTATTTAGAATGAATTTGTCAGTTATGAGCAGAAGAGAATAACTATATATATACACACACACACATGTACAATGACAATAATTTGCTAAATTGTAAAGGTAGACATTTGTGCTGTATCATTATGCAAGATTGTGCCTGATAGTCTAGTTGGTAGACACCTATCTTCCTGAAGTGCAGTAAAGGAATTGTACTCTAACAAAACATAGCAATTAATAGAGACTGTATAAATCATGAAAAGTGTATCATTTTGCTACTTTTTTCAGAGTAGATATATTTATATAATGTAGGAGATTTCATGGCCCCTAGATGGCAGTACTACTAGATAAACATACCAATTTGAATGATTACTATATTATGATGGAGAAAGTAATTTTACTGTCATATTTTGTTTGTCTACTACATTGGACTGTGTATATGTGCATGCATTTTGCAGTTGATACCACAAAATTTGATCCTGAAGGATGTTTGTAGCAGAACAGGTTATTTCAGCTTATATTTTTGATACATTACTGTTTGAGTTAGAGTAATTCTAACTCTTTAAAGTGGTGATTGTGTGGAAAGCATGACTGACGGTGACACCCAATGCCAATGAAACTAGGCTAGCTGCCAAATGGTGACATAACATACTGAATATATATGTTGGTTAATAAGTGATGCAGTTTACGTGCAACATCATGAGCATGTTTTCCATTACATATTTAAACAGTTTATGTAAACTTAATTATGAACAAGAATACAAGAAAGAAGAAAACTGGCTTGAAATATCTAAATGTTATGCATTTAGTAAGAACTGCAGATTATTACCTTAGTCTGCTTTTAGATGCAGAAAAGGATATGTTCTGTATTTTCTTAATGCAGATAAAGAACACATACAGTTTGGTCCAAAACTGGAATACTTGTAAGTGTATAATTTCTTACTGAGAATCTACACCACAAAAAGTGAAATAATGGTGGACCCACTGTTTTCACTGGTGTCTTTCAAATGATAAGTGCAACTTGTACCTAAAGAAAGGGATTTAAGTTTAAATATTATTTAGCTAGTAAACAGTTGGAAACCTTTATTAATATAGTGTAGCAAGTCACAAATCCAAACTTAGCAAATGCTTAAAGACAAGAATAAAATTTAATTTCTTTATTTCACATTCTTGAATAAATTAATAAAAAAACAGATATTATACCACTGGAAAAGCATTTCCTGGTTTGTTTATTTTAGTATCAAATACTTTACTGTACACTAGATGAGGGTACCCATTAAGAAAGAAAAGAATTGTTTATGGGACAACATAAGATGATGTTCCCCTCCATTCTTATTAAACTGACCAAGTACTTGTGTGTTTAAATTCAAAGTCAAAAGTCTGTTAAAAAAAAGAAAAGAGTAGAGATATGCCCTATTTCAAGGTATTTTGTTACTTCCCCTTTGTGGGTAAAAATCCTAAATCAAACATATGAAACATTACAGTTATTGAGCCAGCCAACTTTGAATGATGAA